TTCCTTCCTTCTCCTTTCCTTCTCTTCTTCTTTTTCTTTCTCTCCCCCTTTCCTGTTTTTCTTTTGTTTCTCTTTTCTGGTTTCACTTAAACATGCTGCCACTTTCTCTTTTATTTCTTTCCTTATAAAGTTACCAAAAAGCCCCTCACTTTAACCCTTATCTAATTTACTTACTTAGTTTTATGGGTATTACAGGAAATGACGGAAAAAGAGTAAAGAAGAAAATTAAAAAGAGAATCAGTCAAGAATAAATATGGATTTTCACAAATTCATCAAGTGGTACTAAAAATAACTAATAGAAAAAGAGCGATTGTTCACGAGGAAAAAAAAAAAACTCAGTTGACAGTATAATTAGTTGTAAATAAATAATCTCGAAACAGTGGAATTTCTATGTCTTTTAATTTCTTTTGTAATGTAATATTGTAATGTGATAACAGATCATTGGATAACAGATCATTCGCTGATTTTGAATAGTTAAGTCTTCACCGTGTGGAGCAAAGAAGGGACGACAATAAAACAGAGATGCTTGAATTATTGTCCTTTGCTTTTCACTTTTCGGACCTTGATTAGGTTCATCGTATTTGTTCAACATTTTTTTTTTTTTTTGAGTTATGTGGAAGTTCGAAGTATCTAGTGAGTAAGTTCGTAGTCAAGTCTGCGAAATTGGAGTGGTGGAGAAATTTTGAGATGAAGTTTTCACAAAAGGGATAGAAAAGACTAAAGTCTACACTGTGTGGGCCCACAGACTTAAATATTTTCCTTTGCCTTGCAAGACCCACCAGCCCAAAAGAAAAGAATAATAAGCGACAAGAGCAGAGCCAATAGCACTAAACTAAACTAAACGCACTTTTTCCATCTCTCCTCTCCGTTATTGATTTGTTTTTGCACCATTTCTCTCTGAAATCCAAGCATATAGCTGTTCCTGGTATTCCGGTTCTTATTACAAACATCCAATTTCTTTTCCTAAGAAAACAAGCTATGGCTGATGTACTTGTTTCTGCTCTTGTGAATCCAATCTTAGAGAACTTGTCTTCGCTGTTGCTCAAAGAGTATGGGCTTGGTAGAGGCCTAAAGACCGAGCTTCGGAATCTCGAAAGCACACTGACTACGATTCAAGCTGTCCTGCATGATGCAGAGAAGAAGCAATGGAAGAATGAGGCTGTGAAGAATTGGCTGAGAAAGCTCAAGGATGCAGCTTATGATGCTGAGGATGTGGTTGAGGAGTTTGCAATAGAAGCTCAAAGGCGTGGGCAGCCGAGAGGTTGGAGAAACACTGTAACCAGCTTCTTCTCTATTGATCAGAAAATGGCACATAAAGCGAAGAATGTTAGAGACAGGTTAGATGCCATTGCCAAGGAGAGACAATTCCATCTGACTGTGGGAGGTGGGGACATCGAAGCTGATAGTTCTGATCGCCGTCAGACTTGGTCTTTGGTGAATGAATCAGAAATTTATGGAAGAGATCAGGAGAAAGAAGAGCTAATTGAATCACTGGTAAACAATTCAGGTGATCTCTCTGTTTATGCTATATGTGGAATGGGGGGATTGGAAAAACAACGCTTGCTCGGTTGATCTACAATGCTGGAAGGGTTAAAAGGCATTTCGATCTGACAATCTGGATCTGCGTGTCTGATGATTCCACTCCAAAAAGGTTAGCAAGAGCCATGATAGAGTCTATCGAAAACAGCCCTTGTGACATAAAAGAATTGGATAACTTGCAGCAATGTCTCCAAAAAAAGCTAAGTGGAAAGAAGCTTTTGCTTGTATTGGATGATGTGTGGGATGATTTCAATGATGAGTGGAGTAGTTTGAAGGTCTTACTCAGGTGTGGAGCGAAAGGTAGTTCTGTTTTAATTACTACCCGTATAGAGATGGTTGCTCTTAAAATGAAACCGGTTTTATCTCAACACATGGAAAGACTATCAGGTGATGATTCTTGGCGTTTGTTTGAGAGCCTTGCATTTGGGATCAGAAACAGAGAAGAATATGTGAACTTGGAGGCCATTGGAAGAGCAATAGTTGACAAGTGTGGTGGGGTTCCTTTAGCTATAAAGTCACTTGGAAGTCTGATGAGCTCTAAGACAAATGAAAGCGAGTGGTTATCCGTTGAAAGGAGTGAGATTTGGGATCTACAAGAAGAGGGGAGACAGATTTTACCTGTCTTGCGGTTAAGTTATACTAACCTTCCATCACATTTAAAGCAATGTTTTGCATTTTGCTGTATTTTTCCGAAAGATCATGTCATGGGGAAGGATCAAATGATAGCTCTGTGGATGGCAAATAGCTTCATTCCCTGCAAAGGGCATATGGATTTGCATGAAATGGGCCATGCGATTTTCAATGAGCTTGTCGGGAGATCATTTTTGCAAGAAGTCAAGGAGGATGAATGGGGCAACACAACATGTAAGATGCACGATCTTATGCATGATCTTGCACAATCAATTATGTTACATGAGTGTTGTTCCGTTGAAGGCAATCGGGAGCTGGAAATTTCTAAACCATTTCGTCATGTTGCTGTTTGGGGGAAATATGATGCTCCTTCTGATTGTGGTAAGTTTCTCAATTTCCAGTCTTTGCGCTCGTTCGTTCTGCTAGACCGTTATGTAATGAATTTGAGTGAAGTTCTTCATTTGTGCTTCTCTAGACAAAAGCATCTCAGAGCCTTGGATGTCGGTGCGTCTTATGACAGAATTAAGAAATTGCCAAAGTCTATTTGCAATTTGAAACATCTAAGGTATCTAGATGTCTCTTGGTCTAACATCGAAACACTACCTGAATCAACCAGCTCTCTTCAGAACTTGCAGACCCTCAATCTGAGTTACTGTGGGTCCCTTCGTATGTTACCAAAAGGAATTAATCGCTTGAAAAATCTGGTCTATCTTGACATCACAGGCTGTAATTCACTTCGTTCTATGCCTTCTGGAATGGGACGATTGATATGCCTGCGAAAGCTCAACCTGTTCATTGTGGGCGAGAATGTTGGTCAACGCATAAGGGAGCTGGGAAGTCTGAATAATCTTGGTGGTAATTTGAGCATCGAAGATCTTGTTAATGTAAAAGATTTAACAGATGCGAAGAGTGCTAATTTGATGGGAAAGACAGCTCTTCAATCACTGAGTTTGTCTTGGCATGGGAATGAAGTCTCGGGAAGCAGAAGCTGTGTTATCCGGGAAAACATTGAGGATGTAATTGATGGCCTCCAACCACATTCAAATATGAAGAAGTTGAGGATAGATGGATATGGAGGTTCAAAATATCCAAATTGGATGATGAACTTGAACTTGATGCTACCAAATCTAGTGGAGATGGAGCTAATAGGATGTGGCAATTGTGAACAACTTCCACCATTTGGGAAACTACAGTTCCTAAAGCACCTTTATTTAGAGAATATGGATGGTGTGAAGTGTATTGGGAGTGATGTGTATGGAAATGAGGAAAATCCATTTCCATCTTTGGAGGTACTAAGTCTTCAGTCCATGAGTAACTTTGAAAAATGGGAAAATGTGGCTGGAAGGCAGGGTTTTCCTCGCCTTCGTGTACTGAGGTTGCAAGGTTGTCCTGTATTGATTGAAATACCAATTATGCCCTCCGTCAAAACTTTAGATATTGTGAACTGCAATGCTATGGTATGCAGGTCAGTTAGGAATTTGACATCTCTCACCTCCCTTGAGATTATCTCCATTCCCCATTTGCAGCTTCTCCCCGATGGGTTTTTGCAAAACCATGTACACCTTGAGCTCTTAAAAATTAGGTGTCTGTGCCACCTCCAGTCCTTGTCAAATCAGATATTAGATAACCTATCATCTCTTAAAAGCTTGATTATTTCCTATTGTCATGAACTTGAAAGCTTGCCGGAAGAAGGTCTCCGAAATCTCAATTCTTTAGAGACCTTATCTATATGGCGTTGTGATGGATTAAAGTCTCTGTCAACCAATGGATTGAGTGGCTTATCTTCTCTTCGTCAGTTATATGTTGGATGTTGTGCTAAATTGGCCTCTCTATCTGAGGGAGTGCGATATCTGACGGCATTGGAGGATTTGCATCTTGATGGATGTCCAGAGTTGAATTCTTTGCCAGAGAGTATCCAACACCTCACTTCTCTCCGATCTCTAACAATTCAGGGTTGTGACAGATTGTCTTCTCTACCAAATCAGATTGGATATCTGACGGCACTGGATAATTTGGATCTTTATGGATGTCCAGAGTTGAATTCATTGCCAGAGAGCATTCAGCACCTCACTTCTCTCCGATCTCTAAAAATTCTGGATTGTAAGAGATTATCTTCTTTGCCAAATCAGATTGGATATCTGACGTCCCTTTCACTCTTGCTTATTCGGGATTGCCCTAAATTGATGTGTTTGCCATATACGGTACAGAGTCTCGGTATGCTTAGAGAGTTGATCATTTCGGGATGCCCAGATCTAGAGAGGAGGTGTGAGAAAGAGAGAGGAGAGACCTGGCCTAAGATAGCTCACATTCCTTACATTAATATCAGCGACAAAGCAATCCAAGGATCCTTGCATTGATTGCAGACTGTCCAAAGATTAGAATGATGGGGCTTTTGGGGAATGTAAAAAGGGATATCACTTCCACGGTAATTTTCTTCTTCTGAAATCCATCACATGCTTTTTTGAATTCCCCTGATTTTCAAATTGCAAGAATTTATGAGACAGAGCTAGCACTTTGAATGAATCTTAAATTTTTGTTTCTGTTGTACATGCAATTCTCAGTTTAGTGGTTTGCTCACTCATCGTTGATTTGTAGCTCGATTGTATCATCGAAGTACATTAAGCGATAGATGCAGAAACAAGCACCTTCAATTGGTTCTTAGAATTTGCATTCTAATCCTTCAATTTTTGTTTTGTTTTTTGTAGATTGAGAATAGTTCCTACTTTTGGTGCAAATTCCTCTTTTCAAAGATCTTCTACCCATCCATTCTCCTCAGTGCTCTTCTCAGATAGCATGCTATTATTTCATATCTTCATCCGTGGATTATGCAGAAGAACTGGAGATTGGAACAAGGATTTGCCTGCGCTAAAAATAACCTGACGAACAGGTGTTTCCCTTCTGTTCTTGTGAGAATTGGCTGGAATGCCAATGTTTATGGCATTTGGAAGGAGCGTAGTAGCAGAATTCATGGGAATGGTAGCATTTCTCTAGTTTTTTTTTATCAATAGTTTCTCTTATTTTTGTTCATAATATTTGAAAGAAAAAAATGCATTAAATTGAATAAGTTATCAACTACTAAATCTTTATATTGATACTTTTCAGAATTATAACATAAATTATGAAATCAAATATTTCAAAGTCATATACATCAAACAAATTAGGCAAGTGGTATTTTTGGTCAGGAAGGACGTGATCGTTTCTAGTTAAGAATATGTTACAAGCATTATTTTAAACTATTTCTTCAATTTTTTTTTAATATTCAATGAATAATAAAAAAAACTAATAGTTAAATTATGCAAATCAAATTGTCTTTAAATAAGTACATCCAAATGTATTATTAATAGCTAAACCTCAATTATTATTAATAATTAAAGTACTTTAAATAGAAATGTTGGCTTTTCATTTTATTAAAACTGATTCCTGATACAGAACAAAATTAGTGAAATGTCTGATATAAAAATATGCTAGATTTTAGTCTTTTAATCGTTAAATTTTAATTATAGCTTTTACTAGAAACATTATTTCATATATAACTTTAATATGTTGTCTTAAGAAATAAAACAATAATAATTAATTTTCCCAAAAAAAGTTACAGCGATGGAAAAGTTAAAAGCCCCAAGTTTATGTTGAACTGGAATTGGCAAATAGGTACCTCTAAAAGAATAATTGTTTAAAGATACATATTTTTAATAGCTAAGTACATGCATGCAGAGTCGACTATGCAAAACAACAACAACAAGAAGAATAATAGAATCATTGAAGGTACCCATCGATATATTTGACATATAAGTGGCTTTTGGATTTCATTCAAGAACCAGATGTGAAAAAATTATGGTCCATATTAATATCATTACATCCCAAAAAAGGCCGGATGACAAAATCTGTTTAGACGATTTTTGGACAGGCAATCAGGATTATCCTCGGTCTATCAGCCAACGATTAGGGAACTTGCACCTAATCCGATGTAAAAATATTTAAATATATATATAAAAAAACATAGCATTAGATTTAGAGTTTTTTTTTTAATCTAAATGATAAAAAATATATATTCTATGAAATGTTCTATATTTTTGTTTTTTTAATTGTATTTTCTACGTTGAAGGCTATTATTTCAAATAAATTACATATGTACCGACCTTCTTCAAATCCTAACAAAGCTTTAGAAAGGTTTGATTCATGGTTCTCGAATTGTTATATATTTAAGAAATCTATTTATTATAAATTACATAAATTATTATAGAGCTACATATATATATTTTTTTATCCATTTTGATTTTAACCTAACTAATCATTGAATACAATAAGATATTTATATATCTTATCATGTCAAATTTTAAGTCAATCAAATATTATAAATTGTGACAACATCATACATAATACAGATGAATAATTTATAGGTGTCAAATTCATTTAGAATTCAACTCTTTTTTAACTTCAAATTTATGATGGGGTCCTTTCGTAACACTTTTTTTTTTTTTTGTCTTAAAGTTATTTTCTTCTTCCTTCATTTCTCTTCTGTTTTCTTTTATTCTCTTCTGTTTTTTGAGTCATTGCTTTCTTTGACAAGTTTATCGTGAACCATCATCATCTTTCTTCGAGATGATGAAATGTCTGATATAAAAATATGCTCGATTTCAGTCCTTTAATTGTTAAATTTTAAATATAGCTTTGGCTAGAAACATTATTTCATATATAATTTTTATTTGTTGCCTTAAGAAATAAAACAATAATAATTAATTTTCCCAAAAAAAGTTACAGCGGTGGAAAAGTTAAAAACCTTTTTTTTTTTTTAATGGCAAATTTATGTTGAACATGAATTGGCAGATAGGTACCTCCAAAATAATAATTGTTTAAAGTTTTATATTTTTAATAGCCAAGTACATGCATACACAACAACAATAATAATACAATCATTGAAGTTACATATAGATATATTCGAGATATATGTGGTTTTTGGATTTCATTCAAGAACGACATGTGAAAAAATTATGATCCATGTCAATATTATATATATATTTTTTTATCTATTTTGATTTTAACCTAACTAACCATTGAATGCAATAAGATATTTATATATCTTATCGTGTCAAGTTTTAAGTTTATTGAATATTATAAATTGTGACAATATCATGCATAATATAGATGAACAACTTACAAATATCAAATTCATTTAGAACTCTAACTCTTTTTTAACTTCAAATCTATGATGGGGTCCTTTAGTGACACCCTTTGTTTTTAGTGCTATTTTCTTCTTCCTTCATTTCTCTTTTCTTTTCTTTTATTCTCCTTTGTTTATTGAGTCATTGCTTTCTTTGACAAGTTTATCATGAACCGTCATCATCTTTCTTCAATTTTTTTCTAAAGGAACACCATCGATTATTTATAAACTTTCGAAAATGTTTCCAAAATGAGAGAAATAAACAAAATCAATTTTGAAGAGTTACATATATAGATAAACAACTTATAGGTATGAAGTTTATCTAGAACTCAACATACAAGTATTTTCATGAATAATTGTAATTTTTTCAACTTTCAACACGATTTATATTGCACTAATCATTTAATGTTTCAAAAAATTCTTCTAAATTAGAATATAATGCCATGTAATTGTATACTTCAAGATTTTTTGTTTATTGTATAGGCTTTAAAATACAATACTTATCGAGCAGCAAAATATCAATTAAAAAGGAGTAATTTTTTCTACATTGATGACTATTATTTCAATCAAGTTGTATCTAGAGTAAGTAAATTATTAGTTTTTGTTGTAGGAGTTGTTGCAGCTGAGTGAAATATTGAGATGAGTTTGTTGGAGAAGGTAATCTATCAGCTTTTGTTGTAAGATGAAGGGATATTGGCGTTCCCCTTGCTTCTATCTCCTCATCTCGACAACCTCTCAAACAAAAGGGCTGCCACTGTTGCATTCCATTGACTTGTAAAAATATTGTAATAATAATAGTTTGCCTTTTCGTTTAACTCAAACAAAAAGGCTGCCACTGTTGCATTCCATTGACTTGTAAAAATATTGTATTAATAGTAGTTTGCCTTTTCGTTTAAATTTCACAGACTGGTCTATAATGGCTCTTTTTCCCCTTCTTTGAGATGTAACAAAGGTGAGAATGGCCATGTGTTTGTTGTAATAGCACAATCAAATGGCCACAATGGCCATTTGCAAGTCATGTCAATATGACTGTGTAAACATGCTTGTGTAATTGAAATATACCGTCAAGGTTAATCCTATACTTAGCTTTAGCTAATAATAATATTTTGGGGAAAATTTCATTGCCAAAGTTGTTTTTATTGTTTTTAGTGCTGAAAAATAGTTCTCACATGCATTATATATAAAACTAAGTAGGATTTCACTATTTCTAGGTCCCAACTACAATGGATAAAACAATATCGTTTTACAAAAAAAGGAAAAAAAGAAAAAAAAATCTTTTGAAAAAAAAACCTTTTGGATATTTTGTATTTATTTTTACACTTTGATCCTTTGAGTTATAATTTTATACAAAACAATCTTCAACCTTAATTTTTGTTACAAAAAAGTCTATATGTTTTTGTTTTTTTTTGATGATTGGGTTGTGCTTCCTGTCCAAGCGCACGAGCGAGACTGTCACCATGCCTATCCGAATAAGTTTGGTGCGCACCCCAGCCCAAACCTCGTTTTTTCTTTATCTTTTTTTATGCTTTTATTTATTATTTGCTCAAATTTTTTTCCCTTAATAGTTAATGGTATTTTTTTATAGACTCATTAACAAATATTAAACACTCTTCTAATATAAATTGATTTAGGACCCTCTTCTAATTTGATTTTTTAAAAACATAATTAAGATGTTTAAATTCATTATTGAATATAAATATTTTATTAGATATTACATAATACATATTAAATTAAATAAATTATCATAATTAATGTTGATTAATTTTTATTTTACAACTAAAATTTTAAATTATTTAAGGTAACAAAAAGTATTATATAGATTAACCCACGACAATGGACGATAACTATACTGGTACAAATTAATACAAAATTTATTTGCATACATAATAAGGTGGTTTTGTTTGTAGGGGTAACACAAATATGCCACTGAGCATGACACTTACAACTAATAGAAAAATCATCAAAAGATGAGGATTGTCACACTCAATCTTGAATTGCCTCTTCATCTGCTCTTATTTCTAAATTGTGAAGAAGAAGGAGAAGAAAGGGAAGCAACAACAAATTGGCACTTCAGTATCAGGAGCAGCAGCTCAGCAATCACATTAGCTTACAATTTACAAATCAAAATAGAAGAGTTCACTACAATGTACTTAAACATGTATAGTCACTAATCAGTCTCAAACACTACTTCTAAAAAGTCTTTCTTTACACAGATTGATTCAAAATAAACAAAAATTCCTAATAATTATGGGCCCAAATTTTCCTATATATACTAAAACTAAATGGAGTTTCATTTTTCCAAAGCTCTTGATATAGAAAACAAAATGACATCGTTTTTATATATTTTTTGTTTGAAATGAGATCATTTTAATATAAAAAAAATAATTTTTGGACAAATTGTATATTTTTTTGTACAATTTGATTTTCAAGTTATAATTTTATACAAAATGGTCCCTAATCTTTATTTTTATTAAAAAGGTCCATGTTTTTTTTTAATATCTGATTATGGTTCCGGCCTAGGCATACATGCCTCGCTATCTCTAGACCCCTCTAGAAGAGCTTAGTGAGCACTCTAGTTGAGCCTTTTTCTTTTTCTTTTTCCTTTTTAATGTTTTTAGTTTTTATTTACTATTTGTTCAAAATAATTTTTTTCACAGTAGTTAATGGTCTTTTTTTTGATAAACTTATTAACTAAAATTAAACACTCTTCTAATATAAATAGATTTAACACCCTTTTCTAATTTGATTTTTTCAAAAATAAATAATTAAGCATTTTTTTATTAATTAAACCAAACATATTCATAGGATATATTTAAACTTAATTATGGAATA